GACAATTCCCTCAGATTGCGATAAATGCTGCCGTCGAAGCATTTAAATTCACCAAAATCTAACGCTGAGAGCACATAATAGCGAGGCGTACGGCGACTGAATGGAAAGTCAAAAAAAGGTCCATTGGAAAGACAAGCTCACATGGCCTGCTAACATACTCACATGTTCGCCACATGTCTTATCACATGTCTTAGCATTAAACGGTACCAGTTTACTGGCCGTGACATGCCCCTGCAAAAATCAAGTGGGGTGGCCATTTTGGTGTCCTTACAGGAATGTGGTTTTTTTCAGCTTAGAACCGTGCACAGGGAGGCCAACTCTGAAAAGCCACAGGTCAAAATTAGGTTTGCGTTCCACTTCGTCGAATGCAATTACAAATGTATGTGATTGCAAGTGGGCAACGAAACAACACAAAGGCGTTTGCCCGTTTATGAGCATCGTCAAAGACCAAATTGACAAAGCAAGATCACTTAAATCAAGTGTGTCTCCTTAGTACACATAAACTTTGACAGTTTTTCTTTGGCAAAACTTCATCAACAATGGATATTGCACCTACATGTTGTTATGAAAAAGATTTATAATTTTCCCGAGAAATCTGAGCTGCCAAAGTTCATACTTCCGGTGAAAATTAATTGACTTATTCTTTTCTGCGGTTTCCGGGGTGGAAATAAAAACTTGCAGAGATCAGAGCAGGCTTACTTTCTCGTCTCGCGGCTTCGCGCCTCAATTTCGCGCTCGCGACTACAGCGCGCGCGCTTGTGCTCCAACGTGAGCCTGCTCCCAGGCTAACAAATTCCTAAGTTTTGTTTGCCTTCAGTTAAGTTATGGTTTGTGCTTCACACCAAATCTATAAAATAATCTGCACAAGACTAGACCCAGTGTAATGGGAAGACAGAAGAAAAAAGAACCTACTTGTCTCTCAAAATTGTCTGTAGTTCTCGAACTTGGTCGTTCATTTTGATAATTTTCAGCTGAGGGCCAAAGTCGTGACTCACAGGAGGTTTCTCCTCTGGCGGCTGGTCGAGTCCATTCGTTAGTTCAGCATTTTCTGAGGAAACACTAGATTTTCCAGTTGGTTTGGAGTCTTTGCGTTTTCTCCGCGTCTCTTTTTCTTCTTTAGAACCAACTAATTCGGGCATTTTCTGCAAAACGTAACACTACTCATTCATACCCAAAAACGGCATCAAAAACACGTTTTCAAGGCAGCTCCAATAATCAGTCCGTGTGTGCACTGGAGATGAGCATCGTCGGCAACTTTCCGATCCATTCCGATTCAGTCATCGTTTGTATCGATAAAGGTTCGCTTTATCCCGAAGGTGATCGATTGAGCGCCAAACTGAAAACGCTGTAGTGCATAGTGTAGTCAAAACAATGGTGATATATCACAGTATTTTTGATTTCCAGGCTCCAGAAACAGACCTGAGAAACGATGATGTTAGAAGTCAGCTGTTCAAAATTTTAAGGAAGTATCACGCGACAGGTCCTGTGGTTTCGACTGAACTGGAAGACGGGAAGAGCTTTTTGTTTGTCTTTATCGGAAAAGATGGCGGGTAATTTAATTAGCTTATTCGTCACGAGGAGCTATTGTAGCACTCTTCATCTTTAAACCACCTGGGAGAGAAGCAGAGGTCCGTTATGAACGAGGCGATTTTGGACAATAGGAAGTATAGAGCGTTTTCATGGAGACCCCATATATTGGTTTTGCAGAATAACACGATATTTTTTTTCCATAAGAACACAACCAAAGAGAGAAATTTCATTGTTTGAGAAAACTGCCAATACGGCGCCGCCACGTTGTGTGAAAACTCTCTATTGTCATTGAACATGAACGCATTGTAAAATTTTTCCTGTTATAATAAGCTTACTATATCAGCAAGCTTACATGTAATCAATTTATATTTATATAATAACGCAAGTTATTCTCGCATTTTGATTGGTTCTCGACTATGATCTATTAGAGGACAGACGCACGATTGACGTCATTTCAAATTTTTTCCCTCTGTGTTTTATAATGGCAGAAAGTTTTGAGAATTTAGATAATATTTTACATGACTGGGCAAAAGACAAGGTACAAGAAAGTCTTGTCCAGGCATTGAACAGGTACCAGAAGAATAGCCTAGTAGGAAGAAGAAAGATATAGCCATTTCTGTTTTAGAAAATGACTCAGAAAAAATACTCGAGCAGTCTCAGTCGGCAGTCGAGCGAGACTAAACCAAACACAAAATTGGTCTTGGTAA